CCCACCAACGGCTCTCCACTAGCTTCTCAATATAGCATCCCCTAGAAAGCAAATCAGCTGGATTGTTAACACCAGGTAGGTGACGCCAGTCATCTCGGTTAGTGTTTCTTCGAATTTCATTGACTCTGTTTTGCACAAACGGTTTCCAAATAGTTAGTGTAGTAATCCACGCTAACACAACACTAGAGTCTGTCCAAAAGTAGCTTTTGAATTTTATATCTAAACCATCTGTTGCTTGCCTATAGAGTCTAGTACTGATCGTTGCTGCTATCAGTTCCAACCTAGGTATACATATATCTTTGTTACTAGGCGCTACTCTTGACTTCCCAGCTAACAATTGAACGGAAACATCATCACCACATTCTACTCTTATGAATACACAGGCCCCGTAGGATTTCTTTGACGCATCACAGAATGTATGAATCTGTACACATGAGTCGTTGCTGAATGGTATTGACGACATTCTTCTAGGTACTTTACAGGTTCTCAGTAAATTCATGTTCTTGCACCAGGTTGTGAAGTCTTTTTCGATGTCTTCTGGTATTCGCTCGTCCCAACCAATATTTGCGCTCCACACTCCCTGCATCAATAACTTCGGTATTAGTGTAACTGGGCTTGTGAAGCCGATGGGATCAAATGTCTTTTGTGCATATGAAAGTAAAACTCTTTTTGTGATTATCTCATTTTCCTTAACATCATAACCAACATTACACGCTAACGTATCATCATCTATATCCCACATTAATCCTAATATGGAAATCATCTTCGCGTGTTCTTTCATATAATTTCCAGTCCAACCTCGTAGATCCATTTTCGCTGCATCCATTAATTGCTTCGACTCTTTCATGAATTTTGATACTTCCTTCTTCGATTCGAAACTAAGAACGCAGTTGTCTACGTAATAGCTGTTTTTTAATTTTCGTGCCGTCTCTTGTAGTTCTTTTGGTGCTCTTTCAAGGTGATAAGCGATAGTTGCGTTAAGCAAGAAAGGACTACACGCAATGCCAAATACAACTCTACAATGGCGATAAGTAATCAAGGTTACTTGCTTTTTTATATCTTCCCACCATAAAAATTTCAGGTACTGCCTATCTTCTGGTGTAACCGATATTTGTAAAAACGCCTTACTAATGTCAGCAGTAACACCATAGGCGTGCATCCGAAATACTGTTAATTTCTTCAGTATTATTTCCAACATATTAACTCCCGCATACAAGCATCTATTTAATGAATTACCTCTACCATCCTCTGCTGATGCGTTAAATACTGGCCTTACTCTAGTTGTTGCACTTGCTTCTTTGATAACTGCATGGTGTGATAGATAGTGTCCATTGTTAGGATCATCATCTTGAACTCGTTCAATAATTCCCGATTGTAACCAATTTTGAAAAGCATCATGGTACTCGTCCAGATTTTTCGTTTTAATTAATCTTCTAGTTGTTGATTTCAACCTTTTTTCTGCCAAAGTTTTATTAGTTAAAAGTCCGTCATATCCCTCCTTCCAAAGTAATCGTACTTCGTATCTTCCTTCATTATTAATAGTAATAGTATCATTGAAATATTTCATTATTTTATCTTCTTGTTCTTTTTCCTTAATCATCTCGGCAGGATCTCTTATCCCTAAAGTTTCTAAGCTCCATAAGTCTGTTACGTTTAAATTACATGTCAAAGAGTTATAAACCGAATTTCTCGTACTTACTGGACCTTGAATGTACCAACCAAATTTGCTTCTGATAGCTGTTACATTATCATCTAATTGAATTATCTCCCCTCCTATTAATATTCCAGAATTATCAGCTCCTATCAATATTTCTATCTCCTTTTCCTCATCGATTACATCTGATAACTGAATATTATGATGAGACATTTTTTGTAATAGCTTTCGGTTCGAAACAAGCGGTATGGGACCACAAATTTCTCTGGTTCCCAAAACTTCCATTTGCAAACATAGGCTTCCTTCGATGTCCTTTACATTTATGCTGTATACATTATGTGTCTTCTGTTTTGTCTCTGCTCCTCCAAATACATAATGCCCTAACGTCTCTGTTTCTTCTGAACTCAAGCCTAATTTTCTCGCCAGCCCCTCTTTAATGTATGATCTCTGGGCTCCTGAATCGATCAAAGCTCTCACACGAAGCATTGTGCTACCATTTTGTACCAATACCTTAACAGTTGGTAATAAAGTAACGAAGTCTTTGTGACATAGCAGTATATTAGATGCTGCGTCATTTTCTTTAGACACTTTTCCGTTACTTGTCTTCTTATTTTCTGTGCCTTCTTTGATGTCTCTACACATTATTGTCATATGTCTCTTAGCGCATATCAGACACCTTACAAAAACTCTACATTTCTTTGCACTATGACCCTTGCGTTAACAGTAGAAACATAAACCTTTCTTCTTTATCAGCTCAATCTTTTCTTCGACTTTCATTCTACTCGCTGTATGGCATTCTATACTAGAATGAGAAGACTTGTCGCACCAGACACATGCTACAATATCCTTATTTTGTCCTGCGACGATGCACGCGGCTGTAGGTGGTCTATCTTCACGTAATTCTCTAAACTCTTCAAGACCCGCTTTTACAAGTTTCAGTCGCTCGAAACTTTCTACCTCCCTCTTCAAAAACTTGAGTAGGCTATTTAAGTTGTAGCTTTCTTCATCATTCTCGCCATCAGTCCCACGGAACCTTATCCAAGTCTGCAATACCTCACTTGGCAATGCTGATTCGACTAATGGGTATAGCATAGCGGCATATTTGTCAGTCGTTACATTGAGCGTTTCCAAGGATCTTATTTGGGCTGTCAATTTATCATACAGTTCGCTTAAATTTTCCTTCTCTTTCTTCAATACCAACTTCAATAGTTCTCTCACATAAATTTCTATCAATAAGCTGTCCTTTCCAAATCTATACGTTAATTGTTCCAACGCTTTTTTATAATTCTTGCCAGACGGGGGAAAACTTTCAACTACTCTCCTTGCTGCAGACCCTTCTTCCGTTGCCTGAATAAGGTACTGCAACTTGTCATCCGCGTCAATATTTGGATCCTCGTCAATCTTGTGGAATTGTCCCCAAAAACTCAACCAGTTATTTATTTTTCCGTCGAACTTCCTAAATTCAATTATTGGTAATTTAAATTTTCTTCCAAAATCTACAGTCTTTTGTTCTTTCTTGATGGCTCTTGTTTCTACTTCTGACCTTACTGTAACTTCAGAACTACTTTTACTTAACTTGTCTTCTCCTATTGTGTGTTCGTAAAAAATTTTCAATTCTATCCATCTTTTTCTATAGCCGTCTACAGAATTTTGTTCTTTTTCAAACTCATCTATGTCAAAATCTTCCTCTTTCAAGAATACCAGTTGTACCTGATCATCTAATTTAAATAATGCATCCGCCTTTTCTTTCAAAAAATTAAAGTATTTTTCTACTTCTCCGGGCGTTTGCGCTTCACCGGCTTCTGCTACTTCATCAGCAGCTTTCGTAAATAGCCTCCTTGCCACAGTTCGCAACTTCTTAATTTTCTCCATTTTGTTTGCTACTGTGACACACGATTTCCGTTCTATAGTCCTATATATTTATCCTCACACTATTTAAATTCACGGTCGCCACTTGTGGCGAGGATAATCTACTTGACTTATTTAATTTAATACGAAAATCGCAAATTATATTTTACAAGACTTTATTTATTTCGACATATTAAAATAGACAACAATAAATTCGAAAACAAACTAATCTCTTTATAGAAATGTAATCGTCCAGTGCTGCGATCATAGACATAGTATTTGTACCTATGGCTGCACTCGACAGAAAGGCTGCCTGATGCCAATTTACCATTAATCACCTACTTGCTTATGCTGCTAACGCACATGATGTATCTACGATCATTTGGTTACCTTCAATAGAATTTTGCATTTTGTGCGTAAATAACACTGGAATGTTTTCAAATAAGATTTAATGTAACTTTCTTTGGTGGTCCTAATGAATAAATAAATAAATTTGTTGCCCGAAAATATAAAAGAAGCGCACACTATACAAGCTAATATTCTGACACTATACGAAATTACCTTCTGTTGCATTCATCAAGCAGCTTAATGAAAAAAAAGACATTTTATGAAAATACCTAGATGGTCCATCCAGGGCCGGATTTAACGACAGCGATAATACGAAATGAATGTCACAAACTGTGCTATGTTCGGAAAAGTTAAGATTGGTACCTATTGGTGTCTATTCTGGCATGATTCTCTAAACTTAAACTTAAATTTGACAGCAGTGTATCCCTGTCATTCTCTATACAGAATGAAAAGGAGAGAATGATGTTAAAATTAGTTTTAGGTTTAGAGTATCACGCCAGAATCGACACCATTGCCACTATATTTTTTTTATCTCAAACTTAGAACATACAATTTAATTATAAAATTTTATCTTAGTTTTTGGTATTTTTAAGGTAGGGCATTGCCCTACAATGCCCCCCCCCCCTCCCCCCCCCGCCCAGATACGGCCGTGTGACGAGAGCACAGAAGACAGCCCATCGAGTGAGCCCGCGCCGTGTGCGGCGGTACACCCACCTCACGCAACGCTGCTCTTATTACGGTATTTCATAACAAAAAACAAACACGCCAAGCAGACGCCCGTCCCGTGCCCCGCTTAAATACACTCTAAATCCTTTTTGTGCCTTTATTCGATATGTCGATAGCTTCTTTGTAATCTATTTTGGCGGACAAAAAATCCGCGTACCTACACAAGTCCCTCGTCTGAGCATCTCCAATCATTATCTGTTATATAAAATTCTGGTGTCGAGATGTTTGTGGTTAAACTCCTCCGAAACGGCTTTCCCCCTAAATGTTAAGGGTAATCCACGCCTATTTTTTTTTTAATTTTGTTATGATCTATGAGGTTCAACAAAAATACATACAACCCTAAATTTTCACCCTTCTACCACCAACCCCTATTTGTTTATGGCGGTACGAAGTTCGCTGAGACAGCTAGTAACTATATAAATCACCAAATATCAATAAAATACTCATTATGAAACATAATTTATAGTAAAAATTCTTTTACAAATCAATACAACCAATTAAATTATAACAACTCCGTGCCCATGGGTACTGCTCCTATATCACCGACAACCGCCATTGACATAGCAGAACCTAAAAAAAATGCACATAAAGAACAAACATATTTTTTTGCAAAACAATGGTGTCGTATCTTGCATGATTCTCTAAACTTAATTTAATACAATACAATACACAATTCTTTATTGAAAACACCACACTACAGTACATAAATAGGGTAAATACATTGCTTAAACATAGTGATTCAATGGGTGGTCTTATCGCTAAAAGCGATTTCTTCCAGACAACCTTTAGATGGAGAGGATTTAAAGAAACTGGAGTCGGTGGTGTTATAAAAAATAAAAACAAGGGATATAAAAATGTATATAACTATATATATTAAATATATATATACATACCATACATACATAATATATACACATAATATAACTATAAGATATATACATATAATATAAATATATGACACATAGACTACACATAAATAAGTTTAGTCCAGTCAGAAAAAAAAGAGTAAAAATAAAAATGCAGTTACATCGACAAATAATGGTTGAAAACAAAATTTTTGAAAATATAAATAGATTGTGCTCGTCTTATGGTTACTGGAAGAGAATTCCACAGGCGAACAGCTTGGACGGCAAAAGAACGACCATAGAAGGTTGTGCCGCCGACTCGAGAGGTCCCGGGTTCGAATCCCGGTGGGGGTAGATGTTTGTGTGATGAATACGAGCATTTGTACTCCAGTCATGGATGTTTAATATGTTTTTCTATATAAATATACTTATATATGTACAGTATATGTATTCTATCCATTACCCTAGTATCCCATAACACAAGCCTTTACAGTGCTTACTTTGGGGCTAGGCTAATTGGTGTGAGTGTTGGAAATATTTATTTATTTATTATTCCGGCGAAGTCGAATTGGTAGCAAATTTAAGTTCAGTCTCTCCTTTTCGTTCTGTGAGAACATGAGAACGTTTTCAGGAACATGAGAAAGAAAGACTGACTTGATTGTCTAAGTTTCAATAATCATGCCAAAATCGACAGCAATAATTTAGCTATTCAATTACAAATCGGATAGAAGTCTTCAACAGGATATTAATAATTACTACTAGCGGCCCGCCCTCGCTTCGCTTCGGTGTAGAGCTTAAGTGTTGACTACAGTTTTTGTTCTCAGGCTTGTATTATACACAACGACAGTCATCTATGATTCTTCTCATACCTGCATGCAAAGTCTCAGCCCGAAAATTGACAAAGTTGCATACAAACTTTCATTCCCTATTTTATCCCCTTGGGGGTAGAATTGATCAAAATCCTTTCTTAGCGGATGCCTACGTCATAACATCTACCTGCATGCCAAATTTCAGTCCGATCCGTCCAGTGGTTTGGGCTGTGCGTTGATAGATCACTATGTCAGTCAGTCAGTCACCTTTGAGTTTTATATATATATATATATATATAAAACTCAAAGATAACAAGGTTTTATGTAAAAACGTTAGCCATCCAGCATATTGCTAACATTAATGTAAGTATAACACACCATAAAATAGTTGGTGCAAATCCTTATTTACAGATGATGATTTTTAAACTGCACCTTTCCAGATCCGAAACGCAAGAGGGTCATGATTGATCAACGTATAACGTAACATTTTCTACGCAGGCGCTGATAGATGGACGGACGTGGGAATTTTATGTCATCTTATCATCATCAACACCTTCAGCAGTTCAGCCTATTCTTGTCCCCATTGTTAGGACATAGAACTTCTCTATGGATAGAATCGAGTCGTGATCATGGGCGTACTCGACTTCATTCATTTGTGGCGCCTTTACACTTTGTCATTAGCCTGAATACGAGTGCCACTGGAATTCAGGTAAACGACTAAGTGTAAATGAATGTCAGTCCCTTAAGTCTCGTCGTAAGTATTTTGATTGAAGTTTCAATTGCCTTTATAAAATATCTAACTCGTACATGGACAGTCCATCGCTTCTTTCGCTTCTGAATTTTAACAAGTCTCGCAAGTATTCAGTAACAATGGTGTCAATTCTGGCACGATTCTCTAAACTTAAAACTAAATTTAACATCAGTCTCTCCATTTCATTCTATGTAGAGAATGACAAGGATACACTGTTGTCAAATTTAAGTTTAGGTTTAGAGAATCATACCAGAATCGATACCAATACTTCTTACTATAATCCAATAGTCAGGATGTGTCGTGCCTATAATGAGTTAGTTGGTGTGCTTAAGGATGTGGATTTGTTTAGTCTCAATCCGAATCAATTTAAAAAATGTGTTCTAGAAATCGTAGGCCAAACGCTTTAATATTATAAGTTTTTTTTAGCTTGATTTATTTAATTATCTATGTATTTGATATCTCATTTAATTGATTTGCTAATGTTTTGTTTTTATTGTAATGTAATATAATTTCATAAATGTCATATATTAATATGTAATACATATATTTAAATCAATTGTAAGTAATTTTATCTAATTTATAGTATTCAATTTGTTTTTATTTGAATGAATTTAATTTAATGCAATGTAAAAGTTAATATCGATTTATTGTCCTTTGAAATGAAATGAAAAGTCATTTATTCAGTCTAGGCTGTTACAAGCACTTGTGAAAGTCAAGAAGCTACGCCATCGGTTCGCAAAACTATGGCGGGAGACCTTGTACTGAGAAGAACCGGCAAGAAACTCAGCAAGGGCTGCTTTTTTCTCCCTGTATTGATATATACAGAGTCGTCAAGTTGAAAAATGACTTCAGACATACTTCTGAAGTCACCTTCCATTACATTATTTAGGGTATAGATATATAGTTACAACAAATTTTATATTTAGTATATATAGGAAGCGGCATTAGATAGGTACCATACTACTGTTACAAAACTGACTCATACCCATCAAATAAGAAATTACAAGAAACACTATGTCCTTTGTTTTATATAACGAATTTTTTGTGTATGCATGTTAAGTGTTGCAATCTTGATCGATTCCTCAATTATTATAAGTTAGTACTTTGTTGATTGTAACATGTTATGTATACCGAATAAATAAAATAAATAAATAATAATGGAATAGACTACGCCCTACGACGCCGACTACGTATTCGGGTAGATTTCCTCTTGTTTACCAGACACCGTCTTGCAGGTCGTATAAGTACCAGTGTAAATATTGCTTTGTGTGCCCGAATCCGAGTAATGTCTTTCGTGCACCCGAATATCGGCTAACGACCAAATGTATCTGCGCCAAAACACTTAGTCGTTTACCCGAATTCCACTGGCACTCGTATTCGGGCTAACGATTACAAGTGTGCGACCATTAGGTCGATTCTTTGCTTGGTCTCAAAGAGAACATAATTTTTTAAACCGAGTGAGTAAGGACATACTTTTGCTTGATAGTGTTCGAGCGGTGGCAACAACCTCGTCGGGCGGTATTAGATCAACGAGCGCCATAGAGTTCTTGGCGCTGTCGAACTGCAATCCGTTCGCTATCTGCAAGGCCAGTCCTTCTGACACTTTCACGCTGTCTCCGTCGTTGATCGCCAGGCTTAACTCTGTGGGTGTTAATTTACTTAAAAAGATATCTTATTTGAAAAAGGCGACATACATGACAAAGGCGTTTACAGAATGGAACGCTGTTCGTTAATCTAGTTGTCTGTCTAATTAATAGTGACGTGACCCTGCTATTTTTAAAGTTTTGAATATGGCAACATTAGAACTGTCATCTTGACGTTACGGATTAGCGAGATTTTAGGTGGGTGGGTTTTGATACATTCATTTATTTGAGGGCCTATTTTATTTCTTTTACTATTATCATCAACATGTCTGTTCGTTTCTTTCAGAAAGTGTAGATGATGTAGAAATAAAAGAAAAGATGGAAAGCATAATTGATATTTTAAAATCTAGTGTAACAAACCAGACATTGACACACGAGAATAATTATTTAGAGAAGATATCATCAATGATAGGTAAATTAGGATAAACTGCCAGTCATTGCACACCGAATAGTTATTGGAAAATACAATCATCATCATAAATCGTCAAAGTCCGTCTACAAATCTGTGAGCTATGAGGTTAAAAAATGCAGCAGTGTTGAGAGCTTTTTTTTATTTTGGTTATAATGTTGCATTATTCAGGTAATTTATTTATTTATCGCATAAAACAGAATAACATCAAGCAAAATGGTAAAAGAGACTAAGAAAAACAAATGGTAAAAAAATACTGAACTCTACTAGCATGTGCAAACAGCATGCTTACACAATTATCATCAAAAAAAATACATTCATAAAAACAAAATATAACAATTTAAATGAGATTCAATAATACCTACACAATTCATTAATCAAATTAGATCTAGAAAATTAAATGAATTATAAATAAAGGCATTATTAAATTTAAAAAAAAGTGAATTTATTAATAAATAGTGTTAAATAATTGTTTTAATGATTACATCAATGTATTAATTAATTAATATATTTGTTCACATTGCCATTCCAACTGTTGAGCGATTGACCGCAGATGTCAGTTACTCCGTTCAACCCAAAAGTATCAAGTCGTTTAAAGTATCAATAGTCCAGGCAACGAATGCTCAAAAACAGGTATAGAGGGAACACAATTTTTGACTTCGTAACTTTGTTAGGACTAGTTAGGAGGTAAACATATCGCACTAATATTACAACAGTGTCGTAACTCAAAATTGATTGTTTTTCAGAATCAAGGAAAAACTGATTATTCACTTTTTATTATAGATTATAAAAAAAAACATTTTTTATGTGTTTTATTACAGAATTTAAAGAAATTATATATATACCAATAATTTTAAAAATTACGGGGACTAAAGTTATTCACATTTTTTGAGTTGATACGGTATAATATCGAACAAACTGTTCAAAATGAAATATTATTTTTAGTTGTGTAGTTATTTCAGAAATATTTTGGGTTACTACTAATTGAATATAGCTTTTTTGGTATAATTTAAATATACATTTTAGAGTTACAACAATTCTAAGAATTGTTTTTGGTATTATATTTACGTATAACTTGAACATTTTCTCCGAGTTAGGGTATTTGTAAATAAAAACAAATAGTTTTATAAGAAACAATTATAATTTCGCAATAAACTGAATTAGAACAAAACATACAATGTTTGAAATAATACAAAATAGTGAAATATTTTGTTTATGTGATTACAAAATAAAGTTTCTTAAACAAAACAGTTCCTAGATACATACAAGTATAAAAATTAATATCTATTTATTTCTAAACTTAGAAAGTCCTTACGAAACATAAAAAACAGTCTTTTCCGACACATAATGATTATCACAAATTATTCTTATAAAGTAGTTGAAGCATTAAATGTAAACTAAACAAATAATCAACAGAATAAAAATCCCAAAACAAAACCAAACAAAAATAAAACAGTCTTTCTAGATACTAACAATATTTTCTAAGTAATTACAAAATAAAAAATAACAGTCTTTTCCGATACAAATTACTATAACTAGTTTTTATTAAACAGTTATTATTATTTTTGTCTGATTTTGACAACAATAAAGATAATAAATTTTAGGGATGTGTACATTCTTCAACAGGTTCGTCCTTTGTCCTGGTTTTCGCTGCTCGTTTTTATTGCCATACCAATAAGTAATCGCCCACGATGCATAGTGATTCTGCAAATTAATCAAGTTCTTGTTAGCAAAATACATACAAAGCACACGTGTCACATAGAGTGTAGTAACTCTAAATTAACGAAATAAATATTTAGTAAACATTTTCCTAATTTAACAATAACATATTCCAATACACCGTGATAAATACTATGATAAACAATTGGGCTTTTCTTTTAATACTAACAAATTAAACATCAAAAGGTGTGCAATCGTCATGCATCAGCAATACTGTATCATGTCTAAAATGAATGACTAAACCAATAATAATGTCGTAAATAAAAATATTATTTGAAATATTGCTTGTATTAATCAGTAAGAGTGTATTAACATTAAATACACCCATTTCATATTAAAGTTTAAATCAGCAAAAACTTAATAATTCAAAATAATACTTTAAATTTTCCATACCTGAATCAGCAATACTACTACAACTCGAAATATTACGCAAAGCGGCACGTCCTTCCTCGATCACTGTTGGTCGCAACTAGAGAAGAAGCAATATTAAGCGGGGGGTATGACAGTTGGTCAGTCATCTATACTGACTTATAACGCCATCACTTATTTGTTTTTTGCATTATTTCAACGACGGTTTTATTGCCTTATGCGGAATCGCATCCAGCGTTTGAATATGGTGTTATCTCAAATTCGACATTTTTTGAGTTACGACACTGTTGTAATATTAGTGCGATATCAAAAGTCCCCGCCCGTAGCCCTTAAACCGGGGGGAAGGGGGGGGATTGAAGGTCTCATTTTTAGGGTTTTCGCATATATCTCGGAAACTATGCATCCTAGCGACATGAGACTTTGACAAAAGTGAAAGCTGATTAAATTTGCTACAAGTCTTATTCAGTCAAGTTTTTTGATATCTTGTATAGTTTTCGAGATATCCGCTCTTGAAAGTCTGTAATTATGGAAGAAAAAATTTGCCACCACTTCCTGGGAATGCTGTTTTACTGCTCCCTCGGTGGGAGGAAGACAAGAGATATCAGGCTTGATGGTGGCCACTGATTTCAAGAATGACTTGTACCTGTAGGCATTGAGGGAAATCTCTTTCGCTGGAGCTCCATACCACCTTAGATGCAGCTGCCTTTTGTACTTCAGCGGTGTTGGAAAAAGGGTGTGCAAAGACCGCTGCTGCTTTCTGAATTTCTGGTGACTTGATAATGTCTCTGGTCTCTGGGAAGGGAGGAAATTTCTCAAACCAATCGGTGAGCTTGGCAATGTCAGCTCCATCCTTGTTATGGCGGGCTTGTCCGAAATCTGCATGCTGCTCACTGGTGGAACCAACAACCCTACGGCCGGCATTGTTGAAGAGTTATCCGGTCAAATAGAGCAAAAATGTGAAGCAATTTTTTTTCCATAATTACAGACATTTAAGAGCGGATATCTCGAAAACTATACAAGATATCAAAAAACTTGACTGAATAAGACTTGTAGCAAATTTAATCAGCTTTCACTTTTGTGCAAGTCACATGTCGCTAGGATGCATAGTTTCCGAGATATATGCGAAAAACCTAAAAATAGGACCTTCAATCCCCCCCTTCCCCCCGGCTTAAGGGCTACGGGCGGGGACTTTTGATATGTCCTATCCTAACTAGTCCTAACAAAGTTACGAAGTCAAAAATTGTGTTCTAAGCATTTCCCTCTATACCTTTTCGTTGCCTGGACTACAAGTCTATTTGTCCATATAAAGGCGGTGTTTACAGCAGCAGCAGCAGAATTTTTAAATTTGCCGCTCTTTTAGAGGGTCACGATTCATCAGACAGACTCTAAAGATCAACTGGAAATTATTATTACATCAACTATATTTTTAAGAACGCACCCAGTTTATCCAGATTGCTTGAAACAAAAATTGATTGCCGAACTCCGTGGCGTAGTGGTGAGTTCACCGGTTTCAAGGTGTCGCCTACTCAGAGGTCCTGGGTCCGAGTCCCGGCGAGGCAAATGTTTGTATGATGAATACAAGCCTTTGTACCTAACTCATGGCTGTTGATATATCTTTCTAGAAAAATATTTATGAAGGTATGCATTTCTATTAGTTACCCAAGAGTCCCATAACACAAGTCTTGCAGAGCTTACTTCAAGGCTAGGCTTATTTGGTCTGTTTTTAGAAATATTAGGCAACCCGTTACGGTAGCCCCAATAATGGAAAAAAGTTTGCAATAAATTATAAAAAAAAGCCCTTACTCAGCCTCTTCTTTCCTGTCGCGATCTGTTGGAAATTCAAATCACCGACATTAGACAGAAACTCTGCAGCGTTCCGAGCTACCTGCTTCGCTGTACACGCGCGAGTTTTCGCTACTATACCTGAAATAACAGTTTACAAACAGATCAGTATAGTGCCCTGCACGTAATTTGAACCCAAATTTTAGTTTTCAGCGCATGTTTGTCCACAGAAAAACGACACAAAACTAAATAAATGTTTTTTAACAAAACGGTTGCTGTGTTTCATTAGATAATGATGTCAATTCTGGCGTTCTCTAAACTTAAAACTAAATTTAACATCAGTCTCTCCTTTTCATTCTGTATAGAGAATGACAAGGATATACTGCTGTCAAATTAAAAAATTAAAAATAGAGAATCATGCTAGAATCGACACCAGTTATACAATGATCTTTAGTGCTATGATGTTTTTCTGTGAAAAAACATGCGCTGAAAACTAAAATTTGGGTTCAACTTACGTGCTGTAGACTTTTTTTTAAGCATGTAGCTGCTTGATGTTTAAATCTAAAGAAAATATAACTAGAAAAAAATTTACGCAGACCAGGCAGGCAGTCCCGTCTGCTGCCTGGTCCGCGTGGAATTTTTTCTTCTTATATTTTCTTTAGATTTAAAGATCAGTAGATGATGACGGGACTCATGCGTTTCCACAACTTAATTTCTTCTGAAATCATGATACGCTCGGTTTTTGATACAATATGATCAGCAACACGGGGGCACATGCGACCGACATCTACAACGTTATTAAAACATCATTGCTCATCTACTTAAATAGGCCTGTGTTCTGGCGGCAGCTGGGAATCTTTCTTTATTAGCGTACTTTATGCTCACACACATAACTGCGAATTCGCATCGCATCGCAAATATCTGCGAGCTCGCACGGATGCACCGCAGGAACTGCCGATCTGATTTGCATCGCATATTTCTGCGATATTACGTCATACTTGTTGACACCATTTTAGTCAGCTCTGAGACTTCCCTTAAGGTAGTTTTTGTAGACATGGTGATAATAAACTCAAATTGCATCGTATCGCATCGCATCGCAGCTTTGTGTGGGAGCCCTATAGTTATATGACGCAGAAAAAGGCGCTGTATTCCGTGCATACGTCTCCTGCTGCCATATTGCCTTTACAGGAAGCAGCTAGAGCGTGTACTTCCGTGGTACTATCCATTTTGGTACTTAGCAAATATGCCTATATCGAAGTAAGACACATTAAAGGCCCTGTATTCCGTGTATACATCCCGTCCCGGACGGCGCTGGGTCACCGCGGACCCGTTGCTTCCACTCTATGTAGTGCTTCAGGAGGCAGCTGAAAAGTTTCCCTTATTAGCAGTTAGCATTATGGTTCTAACCGAATATGCCTATGTCAAAGTATGACACATTGAAGGCCCTATATTCCGTGTAGACATCGCCACCGGCCATGGTGCCGAGCGGGCCGTGGGGCGCGCGATCCTCACGGTGCTGACCCGTCGCCACGGCGCCTGTCCCACACGCTTCCGCTATTATGGCGTGCTTCAGGAGGCAGCTGGAAGTGTGAAAGAAAATTTAGCACCTAAAACTAATCACTACCCCTTAGGAGTCTGGGAAACTTGTCAACAGAAACACATACCTAATATACCTAAATAACTTGGTTTCTGAAACATGTTTCACTACACGCTCCGTCTACTGCTTACGTGACTGTCATACACAAAATACACAGGGTTGCATTCAAAATATATGGTCTAGGTTCACAGTACCCTCGGGGGGAGCTCCCCAGAACCTGCGCATGGAATGCACAGGCGGGAGTTGCACCGACGGGCTGAGAGGGATTGGCGCCCACAGCTAGAATTGGGAGGCTGCGCGCGTCAACGTGCCGTCGGTGCTATACTCCCGCACTTCGAAGCTTGGCTCCACGGGAAGGAGGAAGTCACCTACCGCTTGACTCAGGCACTCACCGGACATGGTTGTTTCAGTGAGTATCTGAGTCGAATAGGGAGGGAGGACACGGCACGATGTCACCATTGCGCATCCGAACTCGACTCGGCCCAGCATACGCTGGCGGATTGTTCCGCTTGGGACTCCGAACGTCGAGTCTTGGTCAGAGAAATCGGGCAAGATCTGTCTCTGATGGCGGCAATGCTGGCGGATGAGGGAGGTTGGAGGGCTGCGGCCTCCTTCTGTGAGGCGGTGATGCTCCAGAAGATGGCCGATGCGCCGCCGCGGTTCGCTGGTGAGCACGACGGAGCTTGTGCTCATGGAAGCGACCTGGAAGGGACGACACCCCCGCATGGTCGGGGGGTGTCGTCGTAGGAGAGTGGATGGGGGAGGTTGCGAACACTCCCCCGAGAAGGGCTCCCCTGGTGGAAGCAGGGGGGCAAAGGCTGCGGGTCCTCAGATGCGATACTCGATCCTGAGGCCCCGTACAATGCCTGATGGCGGCCATCGCTGGGGTTTTAGTGAGTAGGCCTCCCCCTTCTGGGAAGGAGAGCCCCCACATAACCACCATGTGGAATGCAATTTAAGGCATTATTGTAGACGGTTTTGTCGAACGTTGATTGTATAAAGTAAAACACGCGCTGGAGACCCGCGTTAGTTAAATTTTCATAAATTTTCTTATTGATATCTCAATACAGAACGGGTTATCAAAAATTTATGATGAGAAGGTTCTATATTCGTCATGTGTATGTGTGTTTGTTTTTGTATGTCCGGCGCATAGAGCACCCCCTCATGTCTCATGTGCCTCAAATCGTGGGAACGTCCATAGACTGATGATGGTCCTCACGCGAGGTCGCAGCTACCGCAGCCGGGTATGGCGAGTGCGATCCACGTGTCTCTACCGGGGCCCAGATCGTGGTACTCGTATCCTGACTTCGGATTAGAGCGCGCCGTGCAAGGGTCAGCTTGGCGAACCTGATGGCAATGATGATCGGCAATTATAGTACTGGTGAAGTAATCTCCACCTTACCAAAGATCACAATGAAATAACAACACCTACGCCTTTTCTGTCGATGAATGGAATGAGGCTCCACGGGGTAGGGGTTCTTTTTAATGGGGGAGAAATCAGGGTATAAATAACAGGGTAGGAAAACCTTTCAAAACAGTTCCATTGTCATTCCTACTTGAATATAAATATTCATTAATTCATGGTATTATGTATTAATACATACCCGGTTTAGATCGATCATTTCGGCCATTTTCAGAGCATCTTCAAATCGCACACCGGTACTGCCCACGGTGCATCTGACCGGCTTAAAGTTGGAGTTCACAAACGTCAGCATAGACTCCTTGCTCATCCCGTCTATTCTCTCCTTCGGGCAGAATACCGAGTTGGCCAGAGGTCCGTTGAAAGACGCTTTCTGGATGAGGTCCATCACCATTTGCTCCGGCGTGATCCTAGTCAGGTCGTCTTCGACGAGGCTTTTACAATCATCCAGCTCCCATTGGTGGTAACAGCATCTAAAATATGGGAGTCACATTCTGAGGCGCGGCGCATTCAGTCCTCCCACGACAACGGCTAACAAGAGCTGAGGTCCGAGTCTCAGAGACGCCCTCTAGTTGAGCCGACCCCCTCAGGTTCGAGTGGTCTAGAGGCTCCAGACGGAGAGGAGACTCCCCCCGTGGGGAGACGCCATCCGCCTGGAATACCTCTAGAGGCACTCGCCAATTCTCGGCTTGAGATCCCCTTAGGATCTCGCCGTCCCCAAACCCGGTGACGCTGTAAAGGTCATCTGCGACCAATAGTATACACACTCAAAAAAAGGCGCATTGAGCATGCACGGAGCGGGTGGACTACCTCTGCGCGAAAAATAGGACAAAGGGAATTTTGAAAATTACAAGATTATACTTTTATATTTAATATTCAAACAAGAAAGAAACTACAAAGAATGGTATGAACACAACATCTTAATCTAGTGTTATTTTACTGCGGCTAACGAAAGCCACCCCCAATGGTTGTGTAATATTAAAATAAGACGCCACTTTACTATTTTCAACCTCGCTCTATTCTAAACGAAAACGACGATGGGAGAAACTTATCCAGAAGAAATCAATATTCTCATGACTTGAGATTAGCTTTATAATATGATTTCCCTAATTCGTGATTCCCAAATACCTAATTGGGAATACAAATGCAAGCAAGGTATTCCACTCTGTCAGTATTCGTACCTACCTATCATAAAGTTTCGATATAACATCATGATAACGGGATAAAAGTTACCTGGCTGCGGTGTCCAGCAAGTAGCTCTTAAGATCTGGGAAGGTGGTGACAGGGCAGCGGAGTGTGAACGCTACGGACTGCCTGTCGGCGGTGCAGGTGAGGAACCCGCCGCTCTGTTGCAAGCGCCGGTGCTTGATGTACGAGCTGTGTCCGCAGCCCGACGCAGAAGACATGGCGCGCACGAAGTGACTCGCGCCGATGGTGGCGTCGCTCTCGTAGCGGGAACCTGCCTGATGTATTCAATCATAGAACTAAAGAACGAGCAACGGTGCTTGATGTATAATGCGATTCAACTAAGCATAGGACCGACTAGGCGCCATATTGTGATGTCATAGCTGTCAATTCGAACCGAATAGGTAGAGTGAGCAAAAAAAAGTATTTATTTAATAAAACTTATTTACTAAGATCAAGGGAGAAAAAACATCAGATTTTTTTAATAACATTTATTTACTAAGGTTGAGAGAAAAAAACACCGATTTTTAATAATATTTTTTTATTAAGACTGTGAGAAAAAACATTAATCAGCATCTAGCTCTTCTATTCCGCTCATCTCTGCATTACCGCCGGAGTAGTTATGAATAATCATGCACTATTACTAGATCACATACGAACATGCGTTATTTATGTAAACGAAAGTTTGAAAACGAGTTTCTGAACGCAACCTAAAGTGACATTTGGTTGACGATTTAGGTTATCAAGCATTCATGGCCAAAGCTCATTAAGTGAAAAAATATATTTAATAAAATGTTTACAAATGTTTTGGTTTTTATTCTTGAATTAGCGGAGTGCTAAAAAAGGGTTCCAAGTTTTTTTTTTGCAAACCGTACTTTTCAAGCGACATTTGACAGATAGAGATCATTGGCTTTTCTATTCTTATTTGAATCGCATTATTCGCGCTGTGACCGCAGCCTGACCCAGAGGACAAGGCGGGAAAAAAGTGACTCGCGCCGATGGTAGCGTCACTCTCGTAGCGAGAACCTGCCTGATCAATACAATTTTTAGCACTAAATTGAAACCAGTTTCAAAAATTTTCTACTTTAGGTGGATCTTCCAACTGCAGCTACATTTCTACCACTTTCCCAAAATTCATTAAAAATGTGAAATCTAACGATGAGAATTTGCGTCGCGCCTGGAACCTCAGAAGGTCCATTGGCACCGCTTTGGGAACCAGGCGCACTAATGCATCTCGCCAAAAATTTTAGGAATGTTGCGCAATCATAAAGAGCCACAAAACAGTATAAATATAATAAAACTAACATTTTCTATTTTAAGTAAATGATCTATGAAGGATTTCTCCGTCAACTAAGTAATATTAACAGATTAATAAGTTTTCTTAAACAATGCGCTCGATGTATGATTTATAATATTAGTAGTCTGTGCGGAAAGAGAATTGGATTTAGATTGGAGGGCGCTGTAGTGCTTTTCTACCGTATTTGTAAAGCTTTACCCCTTTTAGACATGATTAAATACAAAAAAAAAATGGGTGTGTGTACTTATGTAGGCGCGTGAGAAGTTATCCTTCTTTGGCATCGTTTAAAATTAGTTTTTAATTGCATGCAAATAATTAATTACAATAAATTACTAAAAATTCTGGAAAAGGACACAGTCAATAAAGTTCAGTTTTAATTTGAAAAAATAAATAAATAATCAAAACATTCAATTATAATCGCTACTGAATATAATTTATTAGAACATATGTGATTTGCACTTGTATGAAACTCAAACACGTATTCCGAATATACAAACTAGAAACATGTGGATAAATATTATAAATATGAATACCTAAAACTGTTACTTTATTACAAAAAATAAAGATGTGGTTTTTGGTTCTACTACACCAATAGTCAAGAGATGGCGCTGTAGTCTCCTGAATCGCGCTTTGGTTCCGTTGTTCCAGATTAATAAATACTTTTGATAGGCCTTCACAATGCAGTCGTTAGCACCCACTAAATAGAGATTCTATTTCTATTTTGTTGGTAGATTTTCTTAATGTGCGGTAAACACAAAAGTATATAGTAGTAATTTTTGTGTTACAGTGATGCGCGCGCATCTTAAAATTTCTCTCTCATCATTTTTTCATAACGCGTCTAAAGAAGTATAACTTCAAAAACCGCAAGAAATCACAACAGCAAACAAATCCGTATCAATACGAAACTTTGACGTTTTACAGTTGCTGGGTTTGATTGCCAAATAAAAATCTTAATGTTAGTTCCGTTTTTCGCCACGCCCATTCTCTTTCCGCACAGACTCTATACGGATGATATTTCTAAATATTTAATTTAGATAATGTAATTTTCACACATACCTGATACATGATAGTGCAGGCGGCAATCTGAGCTCCCAGCGACTTCGCAGACGCAACCTTGCAACCGTTCATGAGGTCCGACCTCATCACCTCCATCGGTCCGTAATCCGGGATCGGCCAGCTGTGGTTCTGGTTGCCGCGACTCAACGAGAAACATCTTGTGAACAATCCCTTTTGGACTGGTACATAGATTTTGCTGAGCAGCATTCTGACCACTTTGAAATTAAAACTTCTTAAGTTTGAATTGGATCTTTAAAACATTTCTTATATGCTTAAAAGCAAATCATATCAAGGAATTAATGAGCAAGTCGAGCAAGTAGTGAACATGTAAGAAGTAAAAATGCCTTTTTGGCAGCTGTTACTTTTCGTCAAAACTCCTGTATACAATATTAGTCTATGAATCTTGTCAAGAATTTGTAGCGTAAACCTTTTTTTGCGATTTTTATAAAGTTACCATTTTCGATTACGGTTCGATTTATGGTAGATGTCTTATTGGTATTGTTCAAAAGGAGATTACTCAAATTGGCCCAAATGCACAAAAAATATTGACATACACGGTAATTCTTGGCGTAATTTATAATTTAATTTACAGTCATTAGATTTCAACGGACACCTTTGTATAATATATTTACTTTAAAAAGGACTTTTAATTTTACCGGTTTGGAAAACATACGAATCATTTTTAATGGCTATGGGTGTAGTAACATTCAGCCAAAGACTGATCGAAGTTCTTTATATAACATAAAAACAAATCTATTTTATAAAGATCGATAAAATAAATCATTTTTTTATTACACTGGTATTAATATCCACAACTAAGTATATTATTATTTTCTCGAGATGCAAATGTGCTCAGACAATTATTATAGATCAGCTATACTCTAAGTGTGTTCCGCGGAACCCTAGGGTTCCGTGATACCTCTGTCGGGGTTCCGCAAGAATTTAGAAATAAAAAAATCAAAACACCTCTCTCTGGTCGCTCCGCGGCTGTGCGGACTCCGCGGCCGCGCGGAGACAAAACGCTATGAATGTTATTTATTTATTTATTTGTATTTGTATAAGCTTGTGTTACATTAGCTGGTACAATATCTCATAAGTTTGGTCTCAACAATTTTATACTTGTACAACGCGTTCGCTCTAAGTTTGCCGGTCTGTGGAATGCGCGTACCCTCCCCCACGTGACAACAAAACTTATAATGTGTCATAGTTTTACCCAAATATCTAACGTACACAATTTTTATTGTTACAATTAAATAAAAAATTTCGAACGTCATACACTCATACCTATCGCCAGCGGCAAACTTAAAACGAGCGGGTAGTATACTTGTAAGCGCTCAGTCTCTTTGATAAAAGCCGCCTCTGAATTAGACGCTATAGTTGTCAACTAGCGACTTTCGTCTCTAACTTCAAAGGATAAAGTCGATATTGTTTACAACGCTATTTTTAAATTTCTGTTTTTATTTTTGCTTTTTGTTTATCAAAGGTGCCGACTCGAGTATTTTCGAGAATATTTGAGATCGAGTCTAGGACTAAGTATAAAAGCGGCGATCGCGCGTTGGCGTCGTCAGTTGATGATTAGCGTTCGGAGCGATAAGTTACTACCTACTTACAAGCTCGCTAGCGAGAAACTGGTGTTCATTGTTTTACTGCCTGCTGTATTCTGTTGTCTCAGTTTTATACATTTCTTCCCTGTAGGTTCTAAATTTAGTCTCTTATACGCAGTAACGATTGTGCATTATTTAAACCCCACTATCCTGACTTGTAACATTATAAATAAAGAAGAATGGAACGTTGGCTTAAAGGTGTTAAACGTGTTCCAACAACATCTTCTAATGACGCTGAATGTTCAAAAGCAATGCGCGCGGAGAATTTAGCAATCACCGATCCAGAAGATGATGCCACGAGTGCCACGACGTCAAGCTCGACGGTTTCAAAGACGAAAAAAAGGAAGTATGATGAATCTTATATCAGTTTCGGATTTGTTGATTCCAACGGCTCACCTCTCTGCATGCTCTGTAGTAAACTGCTTCCTAATAGTTCCATGGCACCTGCCAAATTGCGTCGACATTTAGAAACCGTACACCCCGAGACTAAAGACAAGAATAAAGAATTTTTTGTTCGCAAAAAAGATCAGTTATTAGAAAGTCAAAAAAATATGATGCATGTAACACAAACTACCAACGAAAAGGCCACGGAGGCATCATACTTAGTTAGCTATCGCATTGCACAAGCAGGTGAAGCGCACACTATCGCTGAGAAATTAATAAAACCATGTGTATTAGACATAACAAAATGTATGCTTGATGAAAAATCTGCAAAGCATCTTTCTACTGTTCCGCTATCAAACGATACTGTTTCACGACGAATCCATGATCTGGCAAGCTACGTCAAACAAGAACTAGTTACACGTCTACAAAATACACGATTCGCTTTGCAAATGGACGAGTCGACTGATGTCGCTGGTTTGGCTATCCTGCTGGTTATTGTGAGATATCCATATAAAAGTTCTTTTGAAGAAGACATGCTTATGTGTTCATCGCTGCTTACAAACACTACCGGGGAAGAAATTTTTAATAAAATAAATATATTTTTTGAAGAACATAATCTCAGTTGGAACAATTGCATTGACATTTGTACAGATGGGGCCAAGGCGATGACAGGTAAAACAGCAGGAGCAGTGTCACGAATGAAAAATAAAGCGCCTAATTGTAGTTCCAGTCATTGTATTCTGCATAGACAAGCACTTGCGATGAAGCAAATGCCGTCTAATCTAAAATTAGTTATGGATGAAGCGGTAAAAATAATTAATTTTATCAAATCACGACCACTACAATCCCGATTGTTCTCATTATTGTGTGAAGATTATGGCAGCAAACATAAAACACTGCTGCTCCATACAGAAGTGCGATGGCTGTCTCGGGGAAAAACTTTAACAAGGCTATTTGAACTTAGAGCCGAGTTACAAATGTTTCTTTCAGCAGATACTTCTTTTAATTTGAAGGACCGTTTGTATGATAAAACTTGGTTGTTCCGATTGTCTTTTATGGCGGATATCTTTCAAAAACTTAACGAATTAAATTTATCATTGCAAGGTAAACAGACAACAGTGTTTCAGGCCTATAATAAAATAACTACTTTTAAAAGAAAATTAGATTTTTGGATCATTTGCATTGGTAAGAAAGAAATAGAAAGTTTTACGTTACTCACTGAGTTTGTTAGCGAAAACGACTCAGAAATGTTTGAAGATAATGTGTTTGAAGAATTGGTCCAATATCTCAGTTCGATGCGCGCATCTTTTGAAAAGTATTTTCCCGAAGAACACAATACAAAAATTAAAGTGAACTCCTGGATTCATAATCCTTTTTTACCCAACTTGGAAAAGCCTGAAAACATGTCAAATGAGATATATGAATCTCTTTTAGAAATGTCATCAGACACAAGTATGGAGTCATTGTTCAAAACGACGCCTCTTAATGATTTTTGGTGCAGAATCCAAGATGAATATGCAATGCTTGGCCAAATGGCTCTGGATATTCTTCTCCCGTTCCCAACTACATATTTGTGCGAAACAGGATTCTCTACCTACGCAGCCACGAAAACAAAATATCGCAATAGACTGGACGCCGAAGCTGATATGAGACTCCAACTTTCTTCCATCAAACCTGATATCAAGCAATTGATGAAAAATAAAAAACAGTTTCATACCTCCCACTAGTTAGATTTTTTCTTTTTTAATGTTTTCTATTATTGTCCTTACCAAGTGGTGAAGTAAATAATAATTAGTAACGGATACATTGTACTTTTATTATGCTGATTAATATAGAATACACTTATAAAAATAATTGTTTTATTGTAGGGTTCCATCAAGTATTTTGCTTCCCAAAAGGGTTCCGTCATTTAAAAAGTTTGAGAACCACTGTTATAGATGGTACGCGACATCATAAAGTCTATTGCCATACATTTTTCGCCATAACTACATTATAATCTGTATATATGTTAGACTTTAAGGTATCTATCTATGGGCCTACGTTCCCTGACTATAAATTAATAAATACATAAAATTATAAAGTGTGATACACTAAAAATCTAAAATATGGTTATCTTAAAAATATAACAAAAAATATGAAGCTCCTGAATATATGGCTATAGAACCTAAATCTTTTAGCTTTCTTTGGATAACGAGAGTTTAAAAATTCTCTCTAATCTGTGGCTCATTCACAATCATCACACAGTTTCTGTCATCGAGTACCTTATTTTAACCGGAAATGACATGATTTTAAAAGTTACTCTTATGCATTAACTTTAAAAACATGCAACTATCTGTTAATCTACATGCTCTATATACCTGAATCTAATCCATAATTTCGCTACTTGGCTTGATTTCCCTAGTTTACTATATGTTATATAAACTTATTTGTTTTTTATTGTTTTGATATGTTCAATGTATATGGTTTATAGAAGTTCTCAGGGGTGTCCGTCAATAATATTCGTTTCTACAGTAATTTATATATAATTTCGAATCTAGGAAACAATTCTTCATGATTATTGGTCTTTAGGCCAAACATGTATGGAAGCTGAGCAATCTCCTTTGCAGTTTAACTAACCTGGGTAACTATTTGGGCGCTCCCAGGTCCCACAGAGTGCGAGTATGGACGTGGCACCCTACAAGAGACTAGCCACACACTCACTGGTGAAGTAATAGATATAGGATTTTAATGATTGTTACTCTTAACTTTAACTTTCAAATGTTTAATACTTGTAAAAGTATTCATTTGACAATGTGGGTTACCTACAATGCGAAGAGATGGCGCTGTCTTGCAGCTTAAGAAAAGCTAGAGAGAATTCGACACGGCCATGAGGAGCATAATTGGTAAGTGCATTCGCCCGGATAGCGAATGGGTGCGGGTTCGAGTCCCGTCTGCTGCCTGCTCCGCGTGGATTTTTTTCTAGCAAAAAAATCTTTAGATTCAAACATGGAGTGTAGCAGTTACATGCTTATAAAATAAAAAATATAACTTTAATTGCTATTTCTTCTTTCAAATGTTTAATACTTGTAAAGGTATTCATTTGACATTGTGGGTTACCTACAATGCGAAGAGATGGCGCTGTTTTGCAGCTTAAGAAAAGCTAGAGAGAATTCGACACGGTCATCAGGAGCGCGGTAGCATAATTGGTCAGTGCATTCGCCCGGATAGCGAATGGGTGGGGGTTCGAGTCCCGTCTGCTGCCTGTTCTGCGTGGATTTTTTTCTAGCAAGATTTTTCTTAATGATAATGGTAACACATGTGGATACCTATAGCCATTTACAGCTTTCTAAAGGGTTCTTGTACTTGACGTCGGAACTATTAAAAACTCACATTTTATATTGCGATGACGTACTTTACACGTAGGTAAGTATTAATGATAATCCTAGTTATGCTTATCTGTTTGCAATAATCACATCACATAGTTCAAACAACATTATCACGTTGTTTTTTATTTACTCTGTGATGTAACGGTTCTCGAGTTAAGGTTACAGGGTGTGTATGGGTTCCTTAATAGATTAGGCCTTGGCTTTGAACTTGAGAGAACTATAGGAACTATAGTACCAAGAACCTTCAAAAAAAGAGCGTACTCCTTCCTTAAAGGCCGGCATCGCATTTGTGATACTCCTGGTGTTGCAAGTGTCCATGGGCGACGGTGATAACTTACCATCAGGTGAGCCGTCTGCTCGTATGCCCCCTATAACATAAAAAAAAAAGTCGCAGGTTTACCTGCCCTATGTATGACGAGGGATGTTTCGGACATATTTGCATTATATATCTACTTTAATACAAAAAAAAATACTATAATAAAATACTGGCAGTTACCTTGGACAAAGAATTAGTCTAGCTATTCAAAGGGGGAACGCTGCCAGTTAATAATGTATTTTAGTTATTATATATTTTAAGGTTTTTAGTTATAAATAACAAAATATAGGTTGTTATAAATATAGGTAGTAATTTGACGACCTCCATGGCCAAGTGGTTTGTACGCTAGGTTTTATGGCGTCGCCGACTCGAGCGGACCCGGGTTCGAATCCCGGTGGGGGTAGATGTTTGTGTGATGAACACGAGCAATTGTACTCCAGTCATGGATGTTTAATATGTATTTCTATATAAACATAAATATATATGTAAAGTATATGTATTCTATCCGTTACCCTAGTATCCCATACCACACGCCATATAGTGCTTACTTTGGGACTAGGCTAATTGGTGTGTAAAAAAATTGCCATATATTTTAGTGCCAATGTGTAACACATGCGATCTGCTGCTCTTCAAGGCACTCTATAACTTACCTGAAGTTGTACCACACATCCCATCGTTGCGGGCGTCTGAAACCAACGCTACGTCACTGCTGTTGGTAATTTCGAAAGCTGATGAGTCATCGGTGATGACAACGATGGATAGAGCTCAACATTAAGTATAATATGCAGATTTCAATAACAATGCAATCTTGAGCTAGCTCTTGTCGTCACCCTGGGCACCATATCAAAAAGTTCCTCGAAGCACTCTTTGTGATATGTACAAGCAAGGTAGAACGACGTCGGACTGTTGTCTCCCCTGACGGCTTCCCTAAGAGAGACATCAGGACCAACCTTTAAAATTGTATATTGAGTATCCGTACATCCACTTGTCAAGATTACATTAAAACTATAAACATATAAATCATTAAAGAACCAGGAGACCATACATAACTAAGAGGTTCTGGTAATGACAATGGGAAAAAAACTTTTTTTATTAAAATAGATCTAATCATTGTTCGGGTTTTGCGGCCCAGGGTGTCAACTGAGTCAAGAGCACTATGAACAAACGCACATTGAGCTAGTGGTCCTCATGCTGCGGCCTCTAAGCCACTAGCGGCGGCGAACGGTGGCTGCGTCTAGTGGCTTCATTCCCTATTTTATCCCCTTGGGGGTAGAATTGATTACAATTCTTTCTTAGCGGATGCCTACGTCATAACATCTACCTAGCCAAATTTCAACCCGATCCGTCCAGTGGTTTGGGCTGTGCGTTGATAGATCACTATGTCAGTCAGTCACCTTTGAGTTTTCGATATATAGATTGGATTATCTTTCAGAAAGCTCGTGAAACATTGTTTTATTCAAAACTATAATAAAAGCATACAAAATAATCTCAACAATATAAATAAACAATCAATCCGATATGAAGGGATGGACCCAGTGCTCTCTTTTAGAACGTCTCCTCATTTTCTTTAACTTGCATGTTTATTACAACGTGATCTGAAAATATTGCTTCCATAGCGTGTGCCTTACTAAGGCCCGTATTATAGAAAGATTCTCAGTGATTGATTAAGTCTTGAGCATAGTTAGAAAGGGATAAAGAACAACACTTAGTTGTCATTCTGTAATACGGGCCTAAATAGGGATGATGACTAATTTTTCTTTTCTTCGTTTATCAGGTAGATTATCAAAAAGTATTGGTCACGTATTTTTTCTCTTTTCACATAATATAAACATTGCAGAGATATATTGATTTGAAAAGTCGCATGACGTCACGTTTGAGTACACTTTATAAGTGAAAATTCACTCAAAAGTGACGTCACGAGCCCCTGCTCCCAAACTTTGACGCGCTATAACTCTGTCATTTTTTGCTTGATTGCCCAAAGAAAAAATACGTGTCCATTATTTTTTGATCATCTAACTGACGGACTAAATAGAATTTCGTTTACTGTACCCCGTCATCACACCTATTCTCGGCGGACTGGAAATGTCCGCTCATCGTGTGTGTGTATGTGTGTTTTGAGCGAGTGACAAGTCCTCGGCGGCCAAAATTCCCTCATCTGCGCAGGCTATAAGACTAATCACTCGCAAGTTGCAGGTCTGCAATTGTCGTATACAGCAAGCATAGTTGCTCATGCGTGGAAGAACGCCGCATCTTTTTCAGGAGGCCTACCACCTATCGGGATTGCATTCGCTATTGCTATAGCTTAAAGAAAATTAGCGTGTGGTGTTTGAAAACCCTCACCTGTCAGAAATAACAAAATGATATCATAAGCTACCTATAATAGCTACCATAGCAATAACGAGGCAGTAGGCCTCGAGGACTAAGTCGGCGTAAATAAAAATACGCATTCATTCATTGCTAAGTAGATGTCTACACGCACTCGAATAAGAACCGTGAGAAACTATATCAACCTATCACTTTTATGGCCATGTTATCGTCGCGCGAAATTAAATCGTTTTATGGACGGGGGATAATGTATCTAGTTTAACACGTGAAAATAATACGCGGAGTTAGTGATCCCTATCTAATAAAACGTGTTTTTTTATTTGTAAACTTAAGTAGGGACATAATAATTATATACTTATGAGCAGGCAACAAATTTATCATTTCTAATGCGTTGTCAACAGTTACCTAATTAAATAGTCTATGACTATGTACTTGAAAAAAATGTATTTAAAAAAATATTCTAAGAAACATATCTAAGAGTATGAAGGGCAATAAATTCCCTGTAAGATTATCTAAGCTAATTGCTAAAATAACTAATTATGTAATAAAGATAAATTGTATCAGGAGATAATATAACTGAGTCGGTATTTAAATATGCGAACTGGAGAAAATTTACATTGAGAATTGAACCACAGAAGAAGCAACATCTATCAAGATGGACAAGCACTTCGAAGACGACATTGAATATCCGAAGAAAATGGACAACAACGATAAACTTGGTCACTTCAGAAACAGGTTTTATTTGAAGAAAGGAGTCATCTACATGTGTGGCAATTCCTTAGGACTAGCATCTAAAGACTCCGTAGAAACAGCAATGGTCGCAATGGAGAACTGGAAAGAGTACGGCATAAGAATATGGGGTATAGAAGGTAGCAAATATTTTTTATATTCAAACTACCTATCGGAACTAATGGCACCCATAGTCGGCGCCGACAAAGAAGAAATTGCTGTAATAGGCAATACTACAACGGCGATCCATCAAGCAATTAGCACATTGTACAAACCAACCAAAGAGAAGTACAAAATTCTGGTAGACGATTTAAATTTCCCAACAGACAGATACGCAGTTGATGGGCAAGTGAGACTCAAAGGTTACGATCCGAAAGACGCGGTCAAAGTAGTGGCAGGGGTCAATGGGAAATTTTTAGACGAAGACAAGTTTATTGAAGCTATGACTGACGATGTAGCCATGATATTATTGCCCACAGTTTACTATAGGACTGCTCAAGTAGTCGACATGAAAAAAATCACGGAAGCTGCAAAACAGAGAGACATCATAATAGGATGGGACTTGTGTCACGCTGTGGGCGCCATAGAGATAGATCTGAAGTCACTGGACGCCGATTTCGCTGTGTGGTGCACTTACAAATATTTAAACGGCGGACCGGGATCACTCGCCGCTATATATTGCAACAGGCGACATTTCGACAAATTGCCAGGACTGACAGGTTGGTGGGGGAACAAGAACGAGACGCAATTCTTGCTGAGACAACAGTTTGACCACCAGCAAGACGCTAGCGGTTGGCAAATCGGAACAGCGGCGCTGTTGTCGATGGCTACGATAGAAGGTGCTTTGAAGATATTCCGGGAAGCAGGTATGCCAAACATTAGACAGAAGTCTTTGCACATCACAGCTTACATGATGTACTTGATTGAGAAGAAACTGGGAGCATACGGATTTACGATAGGCAACCTCAAGGATGATTGTAAGAGGGGTGGGCATGTGTGTTTGGAGCACGACGAAGGTTACAGGATCAGCTTGGCCATGAACGCTCGTGGCGTGGTCGGCGACTTCAGAGATCCCAACGTTATAAGAGTAACTCCAACCGCTCTGTACACCAGTTACATGGAAGTTTACCAAATGGTAGATATTTTATTGGACATTATCAAAACGGAGAGCTACAAGAATTTCCCAGTGAAACGGAACTTAGTAGTGTAATGAGAATAAGACTTGTAAATCACTAAAGGCGATGAGACTTACCCAAAAATAATCTTTAGGCTTATAGGTATAATGTCTGATTATGTGATATTTGTAAATATTGTTAGAAAATTCTATTGCGGCCTTTTTTTAGAGATATCGCTTTATTTTAATGCACGTCAAAGTTACGTGTTTACGTAAAAAATTCAATGTCGTTTTCGAGTGCAAAATTATGTGTCTAAGCATATTCAATTAAGTACATGTATTTATAATAATAAAACAAGCAAAAATTATGCGTAAATAATCAATAAAATGAAACAATTAAAAATCTGTTATTTGATTTTGTCAGAGGATCCCGTAGGTATAGATGAAAGCGTCAGAAAATGGATTAGTCAGTCAGTCAGACGTCAGTTATTGGATTTAATGGCGTACGATTGAAACCACAAACATTTTTGGTTTTCTTTTATATTTTTAATTGAAAATAGGCTTAAACTATGAACTTCAGTTGCAATGTGATTATATCTAAATTCTCTAAATTTATCTTTATATCTCACTATTTGCCAAATCTATTTATATAGATTCAGGGATAACCAAATCCAGAAAATTTTTGGCATTTTCCAAATTTCATAGATTTTGGTTCAGTATAACTTGTGTACTCAATTTCGAAACAAAATAATACAAATCTTGTTAGATCATCTCTCAGTAAGATTCAATCATCTGGATTCAACTAAATTTGTGATTGAAAACAATTGTAAATATATTTTATTATTAAATTGTTTCAAAATTAACTTGGTGTAGCCGCAAAAAAGACTGGATCTAGTTAGCCCAATATTATAATTGTATATCCAGGCGAATTTAATAATCACACCCCAACTTTACAATTATAAATAAATATAATTACACAATAATATGAAAATTGTAACAAATGTCAAAATGTTTTCTATCAGCGCTGACCGAACTTTTTAATATAAATTTTCCTTTTAAATTAAAAAAATAACAATGTATCGTTTCCGTAGTTTCTCGTACTTACAACTAAAATGGAAATAATTATTTATCAAATGAAAAACTAACTTTATTAAAACTTATAACTCTTTTATTTATTAATTATTTTTAATTATTTACAGTAATTTACATCACAACAGTTATGTTGTACAGCAGCTGTCCACGGTACAACATAATTATAATTCTCTTTCTATTCTTTTTTTTATTTTATTTTTTCAATTTATTCTAAACCAAGGAACTAATGAAAGGTCTTATTAAATACCCAAAGGATGACGTACCTCTTAAAATTCATGACTGCAAACCAATTAAGGTTCATTGTAAATGTAGTCTAATAAATGAGAATTTATTTTCCATTTTGATAAGGGCACTACTTAAAATTACTAAAATGCAATCATGAACAATTAAGTCTCTACGAAATGCTAACCGGACAGGCTAATTAATACGCGGCTGTTCTTAGATGCCTATTACTAATAGGAATATTGTATCTCCTTTTCTTTAAACACTTCCTGATGAAAACCGATGTTCAAGGTAGTTTCCGAAATCATTTTTCTAGTTTACCACACATTGCTGGGTGCCAATCACCATAAGGAATTGCTATGGCAATTGATATTGCTAACGATTTCATTTTGTTAAAGGTTTTGAAATGTCTCGCGCTTTTTTTTTCTTTTGCATCAGTAAAAACAATAGAAAATGAGCGCAAGCTATGTGAAAACCTTAGGCGGTCAGATATAAAAAATTGGTAGCGTAAACGATAGCGATAGCCATAGCTGTAACGTGGATTACGTTAGGCGATTGGTCCCAGTAGATGTGACAGTCGATAATGAAATCTCAATATTGCAAGAAATTTTTTAAGCTGAGTGCACAATAGTATTTTTTTCCATTCAAAAACTATTTGTATTTTCTTTAATTTTTATAAATAAAGAAGCATTAATAGAAATCATGTGCCATTTTTCATCATTATAATTTCACATATTACGTCTCCATTCTTTGGGTCTCATTAAAATGACAAGTTCGCAAGTTAGTTGTCAGTTTATATCAGAGTTAATTAAATTAACTCGGATTAATATCTTTAAACCGTTCACTAAAAATGTGATTTAATAAATTATAAGTTACTAAAGACACTATTGGAAAGAGGCTGGTACTTTTGGCAGAGAGTATTATTTTTTAAGTATACCATAACTGTTTGATACTATATGATAGTATAGTAAGCTATGTAATAGGGTATTTGACAGTATTAAAAATAAAGTGCCAATTGTAAGTATCTATATTTAGAATGAATATTGGAAGGAGTTTTTACTATTTTTACGAAAAAAATATTCATAATTTTACTAAAAACCCACGATAAAGATAATAGTTTTCTTGTCTTTTGTCACGTGACCCAAAACGCTTGGGATTGGTGGAGCTTAAAATGACGTCACACGCAAGTAAACTTCCGGTTAAAGTGACATTTTGATTGTATGGTTTGACGTTTTAATAACAGTCGAGTGACGTCACACACCAGTGAGACGCCATATTGTCCAGAGATACGTTTTTCGCGGCAACTTCAAAATACGAGTTTTTGATTTAGTTTTTTTACCGAAATACACAACATAATGATGAATATCCTCTATAAACATTAGTAAATAACGTGAGATCGTTTTCGAAAACTTATCAAATACCCTATTATTATCTTTTGTGGAAAAAATAAACAATTATTATTATACTTAAGCTTTACCGCCGTGTGTACTCAGCTTAGGACAATGAAAATTACCTAACTAACAGACATCAAAGAAACAACCATCGAGTCTTCATTATTGAATCGTCCACCCTAGACAATAGAGTCTAGAATAATTCACACGTTATTATAGAAAGCAAACAATCCACTTTATACACCGTCCTTCGACCGACAGAATGTTACGTGTTATGATTGAGCATTTTTTAAGTATTTTACAGTAGAACAACTCTTACCCTAATATTAATTAACGAGGGATAAGGTTAGATTAGTTACGCCGTGTTTTGTTCCAATCACTAAATTTATAGACATTTATAATTCAACTAGCTGACCCAGCGACCGCCATAAAAATAGGGGATGTATTCCGTAATATATACCAGTATACTGGCTAATGACGTCATGAATCGACGCTATACTGGTGAATTGTTCCGAAATATATTGGCCAGTGCACTGACGTCATATATCAACGAAATATTAAAAATAGTGCGAATAAAGAAGAATTTTTATACATCACATCAAATAAACGGAATTATTTTTGTTTCGATGCCATTATTGTTCTTTAAATAAAAAAGAAATGAAATTCGAATGCATCTCACGCACGCTCGGTCATACGTCATATCCGTTTTCCCGGTAAATATATGGTAGCATACCAGTACAATATGGCGTCGTATTCTTGACGTCATTACCACTGGCCAGTATACTGATGTACATTTCGGAATACACCCAGGGGCAGGTGGTAAAATTTACGGTTGTATGTATTTTTAATACCACATTATAAAAAAATAAATATTGTCCAAAATAAATTTTTGCGTGTGTAACGTAGTGTTCTATTAATTTCCTGGGATAACATGCCTCCTAACCCATATGAGAACAATATGGTTCAATACCCAATAGTTTGAAATTTGGCGCGAAGGCGCATTGTAGGTTTCAGAACACTACGTTACAGGTGGACAACCATTATCACTTAAGGATATGAAAAATAGATAGTAGCCGATTCTCAGACCCACGGAAAATGCATATAAAATTTCATAAAAATCGTTCAGGCCGTTTCGGAGGAGTATGGTAACTAACATTGTGACACGAGAATTTTATATATAAGATGAACAGACACAGAACATAGAGTAACTAATCCAGGCTTAATCTTCGTTTACTAATAAGGTGGATACAGGATTTAATTTTATGACAGTGACGAGTAACAGATATTAAGATCTACATTGACTGCGACAAAGGTTTATATTCGTTGAATTTATTAATGATCGAGTATATTACGCTTATTGATCCAAATAGTTAAAAAAAGGCAAGATCGACTTGCAAATATCAGATTGTAGACACTTCGAATGATAGGATAACATATTTTATATATTTCGTCATAGTTATGTTTCGTCTGTCTCTTTCGCACAACCAATTTTACGGTCACACGAAAAGGTAACTTTCACGAAATTTCCAAAGTTTCACGAAAGGACAATTTTCTTTTATATTTTTTCGAAGAAAGGGCTTCACATTTATTTAACTCAGTCAAACAGATTTTAATTTTGTGAAACAGTCATAGTTTTGATTTGACTTCGTATTGTGTGCAGTTAGATAAGGTAGCCAGATTGAGAACTACGTAGTCAAACTTATATCTGCTATGTGCACTTTGTAAAGATATCGACATTTTCATCATTATGACAATTTTCGAATACAAAGACTGCTGTGCGAATCTTACCATAAATAAAGACGGTAAAAATATGCTATCTGCATCAGTCAAAATAATCTCAAATATTAACTGCCATATTTTCGTGGCATCAACATCAGTCTGTCCTTTTCACTCCTTACAAAGCGTGACAAGGACAGACTGTTGTCAAGTTTACAAATAGCTAATGCGAATAGTGCCGGCTTGAAGTTACAGTTTTTTGCACATAGCAGATATTTCTTTCATTTCCTACAGATGTCTTAGAATGTCAACTACAGATTAAATCGTAAGAAGTAGGGTTTACCTTACCGGCTATATATAGCCAGTATGGGAACTTGATTCTCGAAGCCTTACGGCCAAAATGATTCCTTATACTGTGATCTGCAGTGCTAATGTGAAGAACAAACTCACTTTTTACATCGGAATCCACTGCGAGATTAAAAATTAGATGACAAATTTTAATATTTTCAAATCACACCGACGAATTTAGTGGTGAAAATTGAGTTTGTTATTACTAGAGTATAGATAATCGAATGCATATTTACCTAAAACTGACATGTTGACTGTTATGGTAAGCACTTTTTTATCGTAACCACCCCATGATTCAACAAATTTTGATGGAATGTGTGAAGAACAGAAGAGAAAGAGAGAGCTATTCATACACCAATATAAACTTAACTTTGAAAATATAGGTTCGTTTGTGGAAATATTAGCACTACCAAACTCAGATGCAGCAAAGTCGATGTTTGATATGGTTTTCGCTAGTAAGAATAGCTCGCCCTCTCCAATGTTTTAAATTAAATTAGTTATGTATGTTTTGGTTAGGGTACGATGAGGCTGGCATATTCATAGAATAAAAGCCTCTAAATAAAAAGAGAAAAAAAACCCCCCCAAGATTCAGGGAAATTCAAATTGTTGATTGTAAGTGTATATACTCCGAGAGATCTAATAAATCGAGTTTAACACATACAACCGTTGTACTGTGTGTATAACAAAAAAGTTGTGTAAGATGTCATTAACGAATTAAGAAATTTATATAACATTCGAATGGGCAATAAAAAATAAAATTATATACATAAATCCGATTATTTATGCGTTCCTGAAATCACAGGATTTTATTATTAATAAAAATATTTTTAGAAGACGCTCCCATTATCTATTAGCAAAAAATATCTTTTAGGTAAATATGCATCCGATAATCCGATCTCTAGTTACAACATAATTAAATTTAGGAAACAGTAATTTCAAATCACACCGTTAAATTCCGCGGTAAAAAGTGATTTTGTTCTTACAGAATAGCACGGCTGGTGTGATGTTAGTTGGAGCACCAGACTTCACTCGCTCACAGCACGCAGTTTGTTGAGGGTAGTTGGGGTAGGATACTCCAGGCTCTGAAAAACAACGATGCCATTAGTGAACACAAACAAATTACTTATTAAACCAAGTCATTTGCGGATGCAAAGTTTAAAGTAAAATTTATATATGAAAAATTTAATTGATCTATAATATAATACAAATTTTCAATGCGAAATTTTTACTTTATTGCATGCGAGTGTTATTTTTAACCAAATTTCATGTAGGTACTTCGCTGGGCTATTCTTTTTTAAACACATACCAATTAGCCCGCCAAATCCCAAAGGTCCCAAAGTAAGCACTATAAGCTTGTGTTATGGGATACTAGGGTAACGGATAGAATACATATATTGTACATTTATAAATATAATTATATAGAAACACATATTAAACATCCTGTGTACTCCATGACTGGAGTACAAATGCTCGTATTCATCACACAAACATCTGCCCCCACCGGTATTCGAACCCGGGACCTCTCGAGTCGGCGACACCATGAAACCCGGCGTACAAACCACCCGGCCAAGGAGGTCGTCGTCGTATTCGTGTTTGCCTTTTGGAAATTCAACATTAGCCTGTCCTTTTTATTCTTTATAAAGCATGATAAATAAATAAATAATAATATATATTTCCAACACACACACCAATTAGCCTAGCCCCAGAGTAAGCACTAAAAGGCTTGTGTTATGGGATACTAGGGTAACGGATAGAATACATATACTGTACATATATATTAGTATATTTATATTAAACATCCATGACTAGAGTACAAATGCACGTATTCATCACACAAACATCTACCCCCACCGGGACTCGAACCCGGGACCTCTCGAGTCGGCGACACCATGAAACCCGGCGTACAAACCACTCGGCCACGGAGGTTTGTAAAGTGGCCAGACTTTTGTAAAGTTTACAAATAGCAAATATGAATAGCCAAGTGAAGTGCCGACATCAAGAAAATTGCAATAAAAACAAATAAGTTAATGTACATATTCAGAGATCGACTTATAGAAATTAAGTTGAATCAAGAAATATATTTGTGAAGTAAATATTGTTACAGGAAAAATCATCACAGCAGAATCACTATCGGTCGCCTTCTTTAAACTATGAGTTACTCGAGAGTTACTCCTCGTTTACACCAAGAAACAAGTCATATAGCAGTTTCACACAAAAGTTGTAGCATATTTGTTGTGGTATTATTTCGTTTACACAGCAAAGGCAAAGAGTACCTTTATGAGTATAAATCACTATTTCATCATCATCATCAGCCTATTAATGTCCCCACTGCTGGGGCACAGACCTTCCCTATGGATGGAGTAGGGAGATTGGGCCATGACCCACCACGCGGGCCCAGTGCGGATTGGTGGGTGCTAACGACTGCAGATGCAACCGGGACCAACGGCTTTACGTGCCTTCCGAAGCATAGAGGAGCTCGAGATAGTAAATTTTTGGTTACCCATCCAATGACCGACCACTGCGAATGTTGCTTAAGTTCAACGATCGCAGCCGAACGCGCTAACCATTTGCGCCATCGAGCTCCTCACAATCACTATTTACTTTACGTATTTTGTGTATACAACAAGTTTGATGTAAGTATTGTATACTACACGTTTTATACATGTATATAAGTGTAAGCAAAAAAATATAGACATTGTATATTTTATTTTCATCATGTCAGCCGTATGACGCCCACTGCTGAGCTTATTTTAAATACATATATTTTTTGTTTGTTATGCATGTAACTGCGGCCCTGACGGCCATGTCGAATTATTTCTAGCTTTTCTTGCTGCCTGCCTAGTAATATTTTCTTCAGATTTGTTATATACAAGTTTTATACCTTGGTGTAAACGAGGGGTAAAAATATACTCTACGGTAAAACCAATACGATTAACAAGACTTGACTTCACTACAGCTAAAATATACCGCGACTATGGAAACGCAATATCTAATACTAATTTAGACTACAATATGAGTAATTACTAACGTCATGTCACATATTGAGTCCGTCTTGTGTCCGCGGACAGAAGCAAGAGTTCTGCGAATTGGAATAGGAGATTTATGAAGCGGCGACGTAGAATAAATCCTAAGAAAGTGATAGTGCAAATGAAATATTTCATCATCATCAGCCTATAAATATCCCCACTACTGGGGCACAGGCCTTCTCTATGGATGGAATAGGAAATTTGAGCCATATCCCACCACGCGGGCCCAGTGCGGATTGGCGGGTGCTAACGACTGCAGATGCAGCCGGGACCAACGACTTAACGTGCCTTCCGGGAGATAAGAGATTTTTGGTCACCCATCCAATGATCGACCACTGCGAAAGTTGCTTAACTTCAACGATCGCAGCCGAACGCGCTAACCACCCGCGCCATCGAGCTCATCAATGAAATATTTGTTTATTTATAATTGAATGAGTCATCATAGCGTACTGTAATGTAGTGAATCGAGATGTATGCGAAGAGAGAGAAGCGAGGCCGCCAGGTGACAGCACTGAGACGAAAGGTCAACTTATCCGTCATATCACCTACGTCATCATATTTATTGATTTCTGCCAGGTGTTAAGAAAATTATTTTCATTTTTGATTTTATCATATTTTACGTTTTATCATATTTAGAATTGGTTTTTTTTATTTACACATCTAATATATATAAAAGTTTGTAGATAAACTATTCAAGTTAGATTTAAGACATAAATGAAGCCTTCATATACAGGAGAATTCGAATAGTAAGAGGAAAATCGGCCGGAAATCTTTTTAATTTTCCGGCCGTGAAAAACATAGTGGATGGCTACACAGCCACAGGCGATATGGATCAATTTAAATGCTCGTTTGATTAATTAGCGCCAAAAACTTCATACAATTGACCTTTTGTCACAGTGGCGCCAGCTGGTGACGTAATTTTTTATAAACATGCTCATTGCGAAGTACGTCAATAAATAAATATTTCCAACACTCACACCAATTAGCCTAGCACCAAAGTAAGCACTATAAAGCTTGTGTTATGGGATACTAGGGTAACGGATACAATACATATACTGTACATATATAAGTATACTAGCTGTCCCAACGAACTTCGTACCGCCATAAAAAAAAAATGGGTTGGTGGTAGAAGGGTGAAAATTTAGGGTTGTATGTATTTTTGTATAATGTCTTATAAAAAAAATAAAAAAAAAACTAAAATTAAAAAAAAAATTAGGGTGGATTACCCTTAACATTTAGGGGGATGAAAAATAGATGTTGTCCGATTCTCAGACCTACCCAATATGCACACAAAATTTCATGAGAATCGGGAAAGCCGTTTCGGAGGAGTTTAACCACAAACACCGCGACACGAGAATTTTATATATTAGATAGATATATTCAGAAAAACATATTAAACATCCATGACTAGAGAACAAATGCTCGTATTCATTACACAAACATCTGCCCCAACCGGCATTCGAACACGGGACCTCTCGATTCTCCGACACCATGAAACCCGGCGCACAAACCACGGAGATCGTCAATGGCGCAATGATTTAGCGTACTCGGTTAGTAATCGTCGAAGATAAGACACTTTTGCAATGTCCTATCCATATGATGGGTAACTAAATACCGAGCTCTTCCATGCTTCGGAAAGCACGTTAAGAGTTAAACGAGCAATTTTTTTTCCATACAAACTTTCTCGACGATTTTGTATCACTAAAGAAATGATTTTCATACATAAAATATAATTTTACTCATTTTACGCTCCTACGTCTTCTTTCGATAATTTGTAATTCAAAAAAACTACAAGCCCTTAAAAAATGTCAAAATGAATATTTCTTTTCACCACTAAAGACGCCTAGTGTGGATATTCAATAAGCATTACCAAAAAAAGAAAAACGTAGAGGCCTAGTATTCTATGGCTTATATTTCTTTTACATATTTAATTTTTTGAGGAGGCCAGAGTAAACAGGCGTCTTCTAGGCAGGCGTGTACCATCCTAGGCCTCATCGTCGCTTTCCATCAGGCGAGATTGTGGTCAATCGCATTGCCTATTTTGCATAAAAAAAAAGGAAATCGTAGAGGTAAACCTCGAATTTTGCAATTTTTATACGCGATTTCCAGCATTAGCTACTGTTGTCCCTATCGCACAGTATTTGCCAATGCGCGATAGCAATAGTTTTTTCAAATACCTATTTCTCAAATGTCTATCAGATCGCGTCCGCTCTTAAGCCGTAGATCTCGGCAGTCGTTAGCATTCAACAATAAGTTATCCATAGGAAACTCGGTACTCACACGAATTGTCAGGACATACAATACATGTTTTCACAATATTGAAATTTTCGCAAACACAAAAACTAAATTCAAACATGAAATAAAAAATAGACTACAGGAAAAAAAATCAAAAGGGGTAAATACTAAAATTTAGTTATATTTAAAAGTGTCGTATACATTCCTGAACCTACACCTGTCATTGGCCATTCTTTTTAGAAATGTATCTACTGTAAATTTTGTATCGAAAAAACTCTGTTGGTTTTCTTAAAAAATAAATAAAGGCCTGTGTATTTGTTTCTTAGGTTTTCACGCACATCACTCATTAAATAAAACTAGTTTTTACGGGTTAATGCACGAAACTTTATTTTAACTGCAAGACCAACAGATACTATTAGTTCTTTTTGTTTGCATAATTTAACATAAGAAGGAGATAGAAAGCCTCTCTTGAGTTTGTTTCGCCGGTTCTTCTCAGAAAGGTCTCCCAATTTTGGAACCGGTGGTAAAAATCGAACAATGAAATAACCGAACGCTCAATAAAAGTCTTTCGAAGGTAGCTCGACAAATTAAATAAAAGTTTGATTCTGACGACGTAGCCTGTAAAGGCTACGAAACGTCAATAAATAAATAAAGTTTCGTGCATTAACCCGTAAAAACTAGTTTTATTTAAAGGCATGTGCCCCAATAGTGGGAACTTTAATAGGCTGGTGATAATAATGAAGGTGAGAAAAAAAAAAGTTGTTTAATAAATATTAGGTTCTTCATATTTATATAATTGTTTATTTGTTAAATTCTCTTTT